TTTTTTTTTTTTTTTTTTTTTTTTTTTTTACTTTTCCCGGGGTGGGCAGAAGGGGGTATCTATGGGATAATTTTTCGGGTCACGGGCAAAATCACACCGATGCAGCCACGTTCTCTGTACAATCATTGAGCATTTTGACATGGGATCCTTGCTTCATGGGATATAGTCGTAGCGGGTTAACTGATTGCGTCAATTTATTATCATTGGGGTCTCGGCGGGTTCCGCGGATGAGAATGCGGGGACAGGGATCTAGATTCCATGTAGCTGGATAGAGAGTAGAATAAACGAGAAGCCGGCGATTGTTACAGTAACTTGCACAATTACCATGCCTACCGCACAATTACCATGCCTACCCCAGGATTGGGAAAGAATTTGGAGACTCTGGGGTAGGCATGGTAATTGTGCAAGATACTGTAAGGTATTTAAGTAAAATCACCTGGAAGAGCAAGTCTATCCGAGAGAGGGACCACTGGGTCGAGCGTCCCTGTGCTGATTCGTTGACTGCCTCCGTTATCGCCCTCAAGTGGGGACTGAGTGCCTGAGGACTCAGGCTTTTCAGTAACTTATCGCGGGGACTAACTTAGTAGCTTCGATAAGTGAAGGAATAAGAACCTTGAAAAGCTACCAGGCCTCACCATCTTATAAAAGTCTCTCCCCTCCATCATCTGGCATAATTGTCTTCTCCTTCTTCTCCTCCTCCTTATCCTCCCCACGGCCAATGCCACGCCTATCGCTCCTCTCTCCACTCTTAATATCATTCCGACTCCCCCGCCTTGATTGTCGTCAGCTTCCTCTCTTCTCTCCAGCTGCCTCTTTCCTCTCCTCTCCTCTCCCCACCGCTCGCCGCACGTTCCCTCTCTCGCCCCACCGATCACTCCACAGAACTTCAGTCACCATGGCCAACAGTAGCGTGAGCGTGCAGCTGACTGCCCCGAACGGGCGTCAATATGATCAGCCCATCGGTCTGTTCATTAACAACGAGTTTGTCCCGTCTAAGTCGGGCGATAAGCTCGCCTCCATCAACCCTGCGTAAGTTGACCCGCACAGAGGAAGAATTCAATCCGAGCGGGTTCTAACCGCACGCACAGTGATGAGAAGGAGATCGTCTCCGTCTATGCTGCTAACGAGGAGGACGTGGATCTCGCCGTCAAGGCGGCCCGCAAAGCTCTCAAGGATCCGTCCTGGAAGCTGCTGCCTGCGACGGAGCGCGGACATCTGATGCTGAAGTTGGCCGATCTGATCGAGCAGCACCGGGAGACACTTGCCACCATTGAGACATGGGACAACGGTAGGTGTATTCTTGTCGCAGCAAACAGACAGGCGCCGTAGATTAACTGTTACTAGGCAAGCCTTACTCCGTCTCGCTCAACGACGATCTCGGCGAGGTCCTTAGCTGCATCCGGTACTATGCCGGCTGGGCGGACAAGGTCCACGGCCAAACTATCAGCACCACCCCGAACAAATTTGCCTATACTCTCCGTCAGCCGATCGGCGTTGTCGGCCAAATCATTCCCTGGAACTTCCCGCTGGCTATGGCCGCATGGAAGTTGGGCCCCGCTCTAGCCTGCGGTAACACGGTGGTTTTGAAGGCTGCGGAGCAGACTCCACTCAGTGTTCTCTATTTGGCCAAGCTGATCAAGGAGGCGGGCTTCCCCCCCGGTGTGGTAAACATCTTGAACGGCTATGGCCGCGTGGCCGGCAGCCCGTTGGTCACGCACCCTGATGTCGACAAGGTTGCCTTCACGGGCTCCACCTTCACTGGCCGTGAGATCATGAAGCTTGCCGCCGGCACGCTGAAGAATATCACCCTCGAAACCGGCGGCAAGTCTCCGCTCGTGGTGTTTGGGGACGCCGATATCGAGCAAGCCGCCAAGTGGGCCCACACGGGAATCATGTACAACCAGGGCCAGGTGTGTACCGCGACGTCTCGCATCCTGGTCCACGAGTCGGTCTACGACCGATTCGTGTCTCTGTTCACGCAGGAAGTGGCCACTACCAGCAAGGTCGGCGACCCCTTCGCGGACGACACCTTCCAAGGCCCGCAGGTCAGCCAGGCTCAGTACGAGCGGATCCTCTCCTACATCGAAGCCGGCAAGTCCGAGGGCGCGACGCTGGTGGCGGGCGGCGAGCCTCACAAGAATGTGAACGGTAACAAGGGCTTCTTCATCGCCCCGACGGTCTTCACCAACGTCAAGGACCACATGCGCATCTACCGCGAGGAGGTCTTCGGCCCGTTCGTCGTCATCTCCAGCTTCCAGGAGGAAGACGAGGCGGTAAGCCGCGCCAACGACACGACGTATGGTCTGGGCGCCGCCGTCTTCACTCGGGACATTGAGCGCGCCCACCGGGTGGCCTCGGAGATCGAGGCGGGTATGGTGTGGATCAACAGCAGCAACGACAGCGACTTCCGCGTACCGTTCGGCGGCGTCAAGCAGAGCGGTATCGGTCGCGAGCTGGGCGAGTCAGGCCTGGAGGCTTATTCGCAAGTCAAAGCAATCCACGTGAACATGGGCTCGAAGCTTTAGGATGAAAAAAAAGAAGTTAGCCATTCATGAAGCGACGGGATAAAACGAAAACAACTTCACTTACAATCTGTTCTCTACTTCTTTGCCAACTCGGTAGTTTGTTCGTAGGCTCTACAAAGGAGTGCCGTTAGAGGGAAGCGTGCGATGAAGAAGGACATTATCGGGTGGCACAAACGACCTCTCAGTCCAACAAGATGATGATGATGTCTGGATCTTGAGTTGTGGGCTTGCCTGCTTTGCCTTGTGCTACTGCAGCAGCAGCAGCAGCAGCAAAACAGGCAAGCAGCAAAGCACAGCATCTTATGAGCGATAGACCGAAGCAACCATACCAGATCCAGTGGGAGAGAGAGAGAGGGGGGGAGAGATAAGAGAAGTGGCCTGGGGTCAGATTGGCTGGAAGTAGTGTAATGTCTATGCTGAGTTATCTTCCTTTTTTTTTTTCGTTAGGGGTTCTACGGATTGACTTGGACTTAAAGGCATCCGGTCTTTTGATAGTATATACATACAGCCCCAAAGCCCAGTCGTATGCGATGGAGGAACAGTGCAGTTATAGGGCCAACCCGGGATCGGCATGCGAGATCTCATCCAAAAGATACTGAGTGTGACTCTCTAACCAAAGCTGACACCCAGTCCGACCTTACCTGCCTACACATTTCTAGATAACCCACCTCTGCGATTGAAAATCGCAAATGCAAATCCAGCTGCGGCGATCAACCTACCCAGAGAGAACTGGGTATATGTGCATCCAGTACTTTTGCTTTGCATCAACCCGCTTCCCTGGGTGGTGGTGTAGTGTAGTGTTCTTCTTCTTTCGGGGTTATTGGTAGTAGGTGTAGTACAGAATACGAAGTCCGGATCGGAGGAACTGAGAGTGAGTGAGTGGGTTTCCTGGGTTTGCAGTAAATAATTACGTTAAGTTGGTCCAACATCTTCTTGCGTATAAGTATGCATGGATGATGCTTGAAGTGGACTGATGTACATACACTTACTAAGTAAGTAGTATATGCGATTCGCTTCACGAAACATAAGTATTTCCCCTTCGACCTGGCAGAGTCTCCCACTCCTCTTCTCTTATATACACTCTACATGAACATAGTTCTACCCAACCAATCCATTGACACATCCTCCCAAGTCCTCCGTACAACCAGACACACACTAATCTAACATTACTATAGTATTCAGACCCAACCCAACCCAGGTTGAACCCCCTCAAACAATGTAAGTCAAGCGAAAACCCTCGCACTCGGTACTTACGGTAGAACCTCACCGTTTCAATTCCACACGATCCACCTTCCGGTTCGTCCAGAGATAGGGAGCGGGGTTGCGTTCCATGCAGATGCAATGCACGGTGGGAGAAGCAAGGGATACCATTCAACGTCAGAGGAAAACAAAAAAAAGACAGTTCACTCGCGATGGAAGCGAGATGGAGTTTGCAGGTGCATGATACACGAAGACTGTACAGGACAGAAATTGGAATTGCAGACTGCTAATGTATGTGCCAGTAGCATGTGTCTTGTAGAATAGATAAATATCAAGGGATATATACGTAGCAAGTATGTATATATGTATGTATGTATATGGGTATGAAGTGGTGCTAGCACACAACTACCTTACTCTGTTGTACGCCACAACAAGTCAATCAGCGACGAACTCAGCTCTTTTGCTTACATGGGCTTCGTCTTCAACAGTGACTGCTCTCTGCTCTATACTTCACAAGCAAAGCGCTTTCCTGCGCCCTTCACTCGAAGCGGACTGATGGACTGTCTATCCTCTCAGACTTCGAGCGAGAGTCGGTCGGCACTCCCCTCAAAGTAGAAGCGCCTTTCTCTTCTGCGTCCGACAGCTGGTCGACAATCGACTACCTACTCGGGATGCACAGTATACCTTTTACGTGCATCTGCACGTAGAAATCGGCCGAGTGTTTTCGAAATTACATCCTTTCCCGGAATATCGATGCGCATCACCGACATGTCATACATCTTGCCCCAGCGGTTCGTGCGGTTCGTGCTGTCACACCGATAGGTAGGTGGATCGCTAAGCGATGCGGCGGTCAGCATAAGCAAAATAATGAGTTGATCATCGGTTACTGTGATGCTTGAGATTGGATTGTATGCAGCATAGACCAGAGCGCAAGACAGAACTTATATGGAAGGGAATCTCACGTTCCAGGAAAAGACAGACTGGCTGGGGTGGACAACTGGGATGAAGATGCCTGAACTGAAGACTTTCATCCGACGAAGCGATACATGTGTCGTCGATGGCTCACTCGGTCTGAAGAAAACGATCAATATAGGATGATATCCACCATCTCCTCAACATACTGGGTGGTTACATAATTGACTAGTAGCCATTCTATCGAGCATATGACGTCGACATAACAAAGATGGCCCCTGAATTGAATCCCTTCCCACCCTCCCACTCCCTCCTCGCAACATTATCGAGGAGGAATAAATCAATCCGCTGTATATCACCTCCCCCAACATGCCTGAGAACTATACCTCCGAGCTAATGCATGAGATTCCCAAAAAGACACACCAATGACACCCAATCCCGGCCCTAATATCCATCTTGGCAGGTCTTTCATTTGCCACTTTACCCCCCCTCCTCTCTCTTTTCCCCTCGCCATAGGGTACGAATTAGGTACTCATCTGACCGACTCAGAGAGTACCCGCTGCCCCCGAATACTTCCAGCAACAGTATCACAATAATTGTAAGTGATTGAATCGTACCGGCTTGATGTTGGTATGCATGTGAGGATGTCGTGGCAGGATTCGACTGGGGTGGGTTTCGCACTCAATTCAACACAATCAGTGCACTTTTTCACGCTTGCATGCAAATCACCCCGAAAGCAACCTGTAGACAATCTTTTCCAAAAAAAAAATGCCTCTTTTCTTTTCTTCCATTTTCTTTTTTTCTCGTCCTTTCCTCCTTGGAAAAGAGCGTTTCTGCTTGGCGTCGCTGCACTTGATTGGGCAGGTACGTTGTAAGTTGTTTATGCATCCTGCATCTCCGATGGAAGGTATCCCACTATTTTCTGTAGACCCCGGCCTTGGTGGTACAGTACAGTACTTAGTAGTAGATGTGGTCATTCTGACCATGCCACGATTCCAGCATTACGGGCCCCCGATCTGATATTTGAGCCGGCCGATGCAAGTGGGCCTGACTGGATCTGAACCAGTTGGTCATACCGCATTAGGCGTTGTTTGTTCAATCCGTTTTGGTTTCATCTCGAGTTGGGGGGCGGTATGATGACGGTATTATGTATCTTACGTATCGTGATAATACCGATTTCAAACATGTTACGGTTAGCCTCATACCTGACGGACAGGGTATTCATTCGCCTTCCACCACACCCCAAACCCCCCCTCCCCGTCTGAAGTACCATCTGCAGTTGCTGCAACCCCATGTGAGCTGCGTTGTCATGCATGAAGAATTGATCATGTGAGGATGTCTGGACTCCGATGGGCTCCGCCTGTGAATTGCGACTCGCTGCTCAGGTACTTTGGATCATAAGTAGTAGTTTGTAGACATCGAAACTTCAAATGGGAGGAGGGAAAGGGCCCCAGGCTGCACACACTCAGGATCAATCTGATCTCCCAGGACTCGCAACGATCGGAAAATTTCCCTGCCAGAGTATAGTGCTATCGGTGTTGTCTGCTCTGACTAGTGTAGTGTACACCGCATTTTCACTCACTCAACAGCACGGCTCAGTGGTCCACTTTGTATCTGTCTCGAATATCAGTCGGATTTCTCTCCTGCAGGTACTGGCCTGTCCGTTCAACTGCTGCATCGCCGTTGAGCTGGCAGTCAATCCATTCCCCGCCCGGTGCTGGCAAGGAACCACCGCTCATTAAGGTTGCGCCCTTAAGTTTGCCTACTGTGCGCCAGATGACCCAATGTTGGGCCGGCTACTTTGTATGCGCTGCGTCAAGGCTTTTCCCACCCGACGCTCACCCAGAATGACCTCAGCCTGCTTCGCCCTTTTACTGTTTTGGTTCATGATTAGCACCATGACGAGCGACGATCACCCCAGATGGCTTGAGATCAACTTTAGTCCATCCACCGTTGGAACTTCGTGGAGTACTCTGTAATCGAATCCAAGCATTGCATCCACCAGCTGAACATGGCTGTTATTCACAACTAGGACGACTAGAGAAAAAGGCCGGTCCGACCAGCGTCCTAGTCCCAGCAGCCCAGCAGGTGATCCAACCTCTAGCTTAGCGCCGGTCCCCGTCCCGAAGGACCGAGGAACTTCTTTGTGGAATCATCTCAGCTGCTGCTCAACGATTCCACTTATCTTCCACCTTGCCTCTTTGGAGAGGTCCGCCTTTCGCCACCAGACACATGGCGGGACTCTAAATTAACGATGAATATCAGGCCGGAGCCCTGCCCACTCTCATTAGACCGGCCATAACACGGACTGCAGACGCAGGCGACGAATCGGGAAGCAATGCAGGAAAATCACTCATACTTGTTGTGATAACGGCTTTAGGCCAGGCCTTGTACGGATTGATCAAGAGGTCAAGAGTTGAACTATTCCCTCCCGTTATTCTCTCCCCAAGTCCCGTATTTTGGGACCTCGGGGCGGGTATGCCGTGTCCGCATCCATGGAACACACTTTTTTTGTCGAGGATCGAGGGGGGAAAATAATCGCCTTGCTTGCTGTCACGCAGAACTGCTTCAAAGCGCTGGGGGAGCAAGTTACCGCATAGCACAAGCCCAGGGAAAGCAGCCGGGTGATTTCCTATTTGTCCGCTATTATCGGCCCGTCCATGATAGACTCCACCAGGAGCCTTGTTTGGGACAAATTGAGGCGGAACACGGGAAGTCTGCCCGCATCCTGTCACTGTGCACATCTGGGTCTGGGCCGGTAACATGGTGTGACAATTCGCGGCCTGCTCGCCCATCAAACGGCTTTTTGCTGGTGGGTACTTTTCCTTCGTGCTTCAGATGCTCCTCAATTCCAAATCTTTTTCTCTCCCCTGAGAATTGCTTTTTCTTCTGCACCTGAAACCAACTCGGAGTGACCACGTTTGTCACGCCGGGGCTGCCTGAAGCGCGTACAGGTAAAAACTAAGGTAGCTCATAACCCAAGTTGACAGGTGATAGCTCCATTCGGTGGAGACGTACTTGGTGAGGAGTAACCAATAATCTTCCCACTCCAGAAGCCCTGTAAGGGCTCGAACCGCTCAATAATTATGCTTCATGTACCTTTTCGGACCGTTAGAGGCCATAGGCGCGGACGTATGCCTGAATTCCCAAACGTATACACTAATGTTAGGCACGACACGCAGCAGTACCCTGCAACCAGATAGAAACTGCCGGGCCCAGACTCCAGATCCAACCCAGTTGAACTTGATAGATGCACAGTCGAGACAGAAGAACATCTAGTTTGTATTATTTAGTTAGTGGCATAGTGCTAGCAATCGGTCGAGTTTGACGACTGCTTTAGCACGGAAATGGTGGCCCGATGGGCAGTTATCCACGCTCCCTTCTGGCCCTAGGGCCCTAAGTCTGAATTGGGATGGTAGACCCAGCTCGACCCACTGGCCATGAGCTGCTGTAGCCTGGTAGTAACTACTCCGTAGTAAGTGTAGCGGAACAGCAGAAGAAGAAGAAGAAGAAGAAGAAGAAGAAGAAGAAAGAAGAATCATCGTGTTCTCGATGGAGGTTCGTGTGGGGTTCTGTCTTGGCAAGCGTGTCACGCCGAATTGACTAGCCGTCAGTCACACTTGATTTTCCCTCTCTTCCCCTCAGTGCTCTCCCAACACTTATTTTGACAATATCTGTGGCACATATATCCGAAGCTGGTCATAACTTTCCGAAACAGCTCAGACTACGGGTGCTCCCGAAACTGAACTGTCCAAGCCTCCAGCATTCCTTGTTGGTCGATCGTCCAGAATGTCAGACTTCCAGAGATGGACGGTCTCCGAGGTACGCGAATTCAGAATTGGACCTCCTTCGGGCGAATAAAACTGGCCCATGTGGGGTTTGAGACTGACAACATGATTCTCGCTCTTATCTCTCGAATCAGCCGTACATCGACATAGCGGGCACTTTATTGGAGGGTCCTTTTCATGACGAGACTAGGAATGAGTTTCGCTTTGTCGACATATGGGAGCAGAAGTTATACGTTCTGAACCTTGCCGAGGGGCCAGACTCCTTGAGAATTCTGAACACGTCGGCTTCCATTGGGTGTGTGGCTTGTTGGATAGCCTCCCTTACAGGATGTTTTATCAAAATTGGGCTTCGAAACTAATACGCTGGTCGGAGCTGCAGAGTGACCGCCAACATTGCCCACGCCGGAGATCCCCGCAAGGACCAGATCGTCGCAGCCGCCAAACATGGATTTGCCCTGATTGATCGCAACACGGGCGACCTGTCGTATATTCGCAAAGCATGGGACGACCCGGACATGGACCACAGGTAGGTGTCAGAAGTCGGGATCTGCACTACCTAAAGCGTAGAATCTGACTCATCGGCAACGCCATTGAAACAGGATGCGTTTCAACGACGGAGCTGTCGACAGCCATGGGCGATTCTGGGCCGGGGCCATGAACGACCCTAAGATCCAGAAACCTACCAACGAGGGAGTTCTCTTCCGGCTAGATCCTGACTTAAAACTCCATCGGATGGTTGAGCAGCTGACGATACCTAACGGGATCGGCTGGAATCCTGCGGATGACACCATGTACTTGACCGACTCGCCTACTGGTAAAATCTTTGCCTTCGACTTTGACGCCAAAACCGGGGCCATCAGCAATCGCAGAGTTTATTTCGACATTGGCGAACCTAAGGAGCCCGATGGATTCACTATCGATGAGGAAGGCTGCCTCTGGAGTGCCATCTACGGCGGCGGGAAAATCATTCGCATTTCACCGGAAGGCAAGGTGATTGGCGAAGTGCTTCTGCCCACCCGAAACATCACTTGTCCAACGTTTGTCGGGACCGAGCTCTTCATCACGACTGCCAAGGATGATGTCAACGATGAGCAGCTTCCGAATTCTATCCGGTACGGAGGAAGACTTTACCGCGTGGATGTCGGGGTTAGAGGGAAGCCAAAGAATCAATTTCGCTTCCGGGACTAATCTCAGCGGATGATCACCTAACTATAACTTAGTAGTAGCAATTATACTTTGACTGGGAGCCGCTTCGGGTGTAAGCTTGTTGACCTTCATGACTCAATGAGCTCTTGGAAGGGCACACTGGTGGCTCGTACCTTTGGCGTAGAACCAGGGCGAGATTGAGATGCATTTGTAGAGATTTCTGCTATTGAGGCGAACGGGAAGAAGCGATTTCTTTGTCCCCAATGCTCAACGCGGGCGGAGGGCGGGGGATCAGGCACTGGCTGCGATGAAAAGCAGGAGGTTGTGAAACACACAGCTTGATTGGGCTGCATCAATTCAATGCTACCAGATTGCGTAAATAGAACGGGAGAGACACTTGTTTGATGGGTGCAAGAGGTGAGTGATTGATGGGGAAAGGAGAGGGAAAGGGAAGAGATGGGGAAGTTAGTAACAGTTCTACTCGTTTACTCCTTCCATGTGGAGTGTAGGTGAATACCGTACAGTATTCGCAACACCCATTGAAATCCGAGCATTACGGCTCGCGAATGACTAAGGTATGTGGATAGATAGTACTAGTTGAAGTACTCAATTTTGACTTGAATCCCTGAGTCTTGGAATTCACATCGCATATTGCAAAGGTTGTACTATCTACAATCAATCTACGCGAGTGTTTCATACTTTTTGCGGCGCGATCTTGTTCGAGATACGGAGAGTAAACCGACCTTCTAGCACAAGAATCATCGTCCTTTGAAAGGTGGGATTTTCAACGCAAGAGAAGAGTGCTGGGAAGAAGACCAACTTCTTACCACTGCTGGCCGGATATCGGCCGGATGGATCTAGAGTATACATTATGACCAGCACCTCATTTGGCTGGAGAAAACACAAGAGACACTGTAATGAGTTAGGTGACAGTGTGCTTGCTTCTCCAGAAGATGTAGCTAGCATGCAGGTATAGGCAGACGTCGCGGTCAAAGCGTGTTCTCAAATTGAGCTTGCTGGCCAAAGTCGAAAGAGCGCACCGGAGCAAAAAGAGAAAAGAAAAGGTAACTCAAAGAAAATCAAAAGGAACCCAAAGATAAAATCAACAACCGCCAATTGATGACGAGAGTAGAGTAGGGCCTGCCTGAGAGATCTCTCGATTAGATTCTGTTCCCCGTTCCCCGAATTTCTCCCCCATTCTCATCCAAAGTCTATCTGAAGCCCTGAGCTTCGAGCGGAAGGAAGCCAACAGGTGGTGTGAATCTTGTTGCATGCATGTGCAGAAAAGGAGATGCACACGCTACGGCAGTGCCACCAACCATCTAGTAGGATCTAGACGCCGGACGGGACTAGTAGGCGATTCCTGCAGACCGGTCAAGAATTCCATTGTCAGCACTCGATCTGCGCCCTACTCCGTAGATGCAGCTTCCACTACTGCGAGCCATAGCGGAAGCTATTTTCCAGCAAGCCAGTAGGTAGTCGCAGTGATATGCCGAGAATCGAGAGGACTAAGCTTGTCCCCAGCGCGTTAGGTTGAACTGGTCGAGTCTTGTCATGAGTGATAGATAGGTAGCGAGTCTGTAGGTATGACTTGGTAGTGCAAGACTGACTGTACCCCCGATTCACTGTACAGTTCATGCACTTGAAAGGTCACTTCCCCAAGAAAGAGCATGCGCCCGCGCACTGACCGAAGTCTTCCACAGCTGCAGGGCCTGGATATTCCAAGTGCGCTAAACACAGCATGCACAAGTCAAGTGGAGACCTGCGATGCAAGACCCCGTAGGTCCATCCAGACTTCGTTCGTCCCACTGGCCTCGATTTAGCGGCGGACCACAACCGAGATAGGAATGGGATGAGATGAGTTATGTTCCAAAGCTATCTATGTGGGCACTCTTGGTCAGATTGGATGTTCTCGATGATTCTTTGGTGAAATCTTCCATGATGCGCGGTATCAACGGGGAAAATCAGTCCCAGCACGCACACGGTTGAGAGAACGAAGAGAGAGAAGAAAAAAGCAAGGACGCCCAGAACAAAGCCATTATGGACAACCACGGCATATGAAATCTTGACATGACAAAGTACCTGGTGTACATCAACATTTTTGCTCCAGTGTTTCATCGGTTCATTTTCATTTTCATTTTCAATTTTTCTTTCTTCCTTCCAATCTAACCTGACGTGTCCGCCTTTTCTTATCATCTAAGAAGGCTTCTCTCACCGTCTCTTCGAATGACAAACCACTGTACAGCAGTCAGACTCGGAACTGGGGTTCCACTGGTTGTAGGAAATAAATCCATCTGCACAGACTGCATACTAAACAAGTGGCTGCATATTTCCACCATTCTTCTCGTGGCACACATGTTCCCCGACCGAGTGGGCCACCCCCCGCCCCCAAAGAGCGCTCAAAAGTGCTCCCAAAAAAAAAAGGAAAGAAAAAGAAAAAAGAAAAGACAAAAAAAAAAAAAAAAAAAAAAAAAAAAAAAAAAAGAAAAAAAAAAGAAACACACAAGACAAGTACGCATGCCGGAACGCCCTCCGAATAGACCAGACCAGACTGCCTGATACGTATCC